CATTCATATTGTTCATATCAATGACGCGTAGTTACTCTATCTACACACATATACACATAAACACTCCACTTCACTTGCATACATATCTACACACATACACACACACACACACACACACACACACACACACACACACACACACACACACACACACACACACACACATACACACACACACACTACCCTGTTCATGTCTCTAAATATTCATCCTTTGTGTTTTTGCCTTTTCTCTTGTCGACCGTCTAACGAGTCTCTCTCCTTCGTCCCCTTCGTTCTGCTCCTTGTTATCTTCCCCGACATCTTCACCGCCAACATCCCCCTCTGCATGTGCAGCTTGCCCTTCCTCGCTCTCGGAAATGCAATTAATCATATTAGCCGATGTGTTGGACCTTTCGAGTTTATTCTTATCTTCCCTCTCCACATCATTCAACAGTTTCATCATCTCATCTGAGTTTTCTTTCGCCTCGGCTGCAAGTTCTGTACACACACCTGGTTGCATTGCCTTCACAACCACCTCCTCCATTGAGGAGTGAGACTCTCCATTTGCGATGCTCCTTCGTTTCCCAGCTGTGTCAAAATCGGAGGCCCGTATGATGCAACGTTTGATTTTTGTTCGACCGCCTGAGACACCGGAGCTCCCTTAACCCCCGTAGTTATCCGCTCTCCATCTCCTTGAAGAAGGGTGTTTCCCTTCTCTGTGTCGTTTGCTGCGACACGCGTTTGACTCAGCGCTTTTTCTGACTCACTGCAAAGTTAGTCTGTGACATTGCCGCAAGTTGCGAACATCCAGCAGTAATGCTATCGAGCCCGTGGCATGTGGGAGGCTGTACGATCTTCCAATCAATTTTGTTATACGACCGGCTTGATGGAAAGTCGTAAAACTGATGCTTGTACTCCAAGCGATTGTTGGAGCGTAGAGACTCGAACAACGATTGGGCCTTCGCGCATATAAGGGCTTCATCGACACCATGGTTTTCCTTCGTAACGCGTAATAGGATTTCACCGTTTGTGGTTTTCAACCATGAATCTTCTGTCATCCTGGGTTTGACTTTTCAGCCATCCCTTAGATGCAGTGCCATTGCCCACTTCCCCTCGTCAATGCACGGTTCGAACACATCTGGGTGCCACAGTATGTGATGCCCCCACTTCTCTGACGACGTCTCTTCCCCCACGTCATGAAATACATAGGGCGAGGTGGAGCCCTGCATGAAGCTTTCTGGAATATCATCACCGGGCATCAACTTCGGGAAGGCACCTGGAACAACCAAGTCATCCTCGTCGTCGTCTTCCCGCACGTCGTTCATCCTCATCCCTCCAGACATCCGTCCGATGGACCTCTTCTCTCCTTGATATCCGTAGCGATTGTCGTGAATTACGACGTTAATTACGGCTTGAACGGGTGTCGGTGAATCCCTTGGGAATTCACCAGCGGAACTTGCCCTGTCCTGTGTGTCAACCACATGAGTGCTCAGTGGTCCAGATTGCTGCAGACCTCCTTCGGGGTTCTTGTTTTGCACGCTGCCATCCGGAACATTTTGCACTCCCTCACGACCATGTGCACCATCTCGAGAACGCTTAACCCGTAGGTCGATTTCAAGGTCCGAGGTCTCAGTCTCTTCATCGTTATCAATCGGATTCCACGCATCTGTTCTACGTGCGACGTCATTGTAGTCGTTGTACGTCAACTTGCTGCATTGTCTCATGAACTTCAGCTCTTCGCATCGCGCCACAAACAACGCGAATGCCCCCACCTCCGCCTTGTGGTAACCACCGTGTGCTTCTTGTGCCATCGCTTTACGATAGATGTACTCGTGCTGAAATGCAGTTTTGGGGTCGCCCTGGAACAAGTACTCCCACATTTTTTCTCTCTTCTTTCCCAACTTGTGGTACATGTCCCTGTCCGAGCGTTGTGTGCTCTTATGTTTCTCGATGGTGCAATCGTTTCGAGAATCCTTGGTGAGTATTTCGATGACCTTTGTCAAATATGCGATGTCTTTGGACGATGCATCGCACGCAAATACATGGTTCCCCGCGCGCAAAAGCTCCTACACAAGGCCAGCATGTGGCTTCCCAAGCACTATAACCCCTTCGTCCTCATGCAGAAACGAGCTGCATAAGGTTTGTAGCCGCTGCGGCTCTCGTTCCCAACGCCCATACTCCTCTTTTTCACTGCCTTCATCGCCACCATGTTTTGCTGCACACCGCTTAAAAAATTGTTCCACGACGTTTACTTCCACAGTGTTCGCTTCTGAGCGCGGCACTCTCGTAACCTTTCTGAGGTCGCCTCCCTCGGCATGCAGGACGATCGTCATCGTGTCCTTACTCTCAATTTGCATATTCTCATATTTATTGACAACCGTTCCGACCCCCATAAAGCGCTTCCAAGCGTCTGGTATCACCTCAACATTCTCCCAATTGTAGAGGTGTCGCATGACGGTCTTGTGATGTTTCTGTGGCGCGAAGATGATCAATGTCCAATTCTTGCTGCACAACTTTAACATCATTTTGTATAGAGCGTCGAAGTCCTCCGGCGACCAGGCAGAGCAATGCGACGGTAATGCGAGATCCAAGATGGTGGCCTTGCAATTAAGGTTTGTGGCAGCGGTAACGACTTCGTCTTGCGCAGGCAGCAACTCCTTTGGGTTCATATTAATCGGCAACAATGTTGCTCGTCGCCCTTTCCCTTCCCACAACAGGTGAAGCGCAACATTTGATAATCGCCGCATCTCTGTCGTGAGCGAATCCACCTTTCCTATCGCCTGGTACACGAAGACCTTAAAATGTAATGGCGCATTTTTATACAATGCCTCTGTGGCCTTCAACCCTGCTCCTTTCAGGCCTTTCATTTCTTGTCCACCACCAAGTCGTTTTGGAACCTTCCTAACGTACTCCAAAGGGATTTTATCCCTTTCCTCGTCCCATGCTTCTGCTGTGACACCGTACCTCTCTGTCATGTCCTTGTAATCGAAGAAGAACTTTTGGTTTCAGTCGTCCTTCTGTTTGTTCTCCGATTTGAACACGATGTAGTTGAAGAGACGCATCATGTACCTCTCTCTCATGATAATGTCGAGGAGGTTGTTCATGTTCAACTTCCCCGTAGGAACCTGTCTAGCGGTGGCTATGACCTTCTTGTTGATCATTAACCTCAATGCGACTTCCTTCTCTCGCGCCGTCATATCTCCAAAGCATTTGAAGTTTGATGGAACGAGATCTTTGAAGGTGACGGTGGCTCCATGCCCCCTGTCCTTAGCCGCGATGCAATGGAACACCTCCTTTTTCCCATTGACTTCTTCCGTATATTGCCCCGGAAGGTTCCCCTCTTGCCTCCCCGACATATCTCTAGGGCACCTGCCATCATAAAGTGGCAACTCTCCTGCTTCGAACTTCTCAAAAAACTCTTTCACCAACGGCCATATCCACCTCTTACACGTCGCCACGTTCATGTATCCTCTCATCCGGTTCGACCAGTCGGGCTGCCACTTCGGATGCAAGGCATCAGTCCAAAGGCTTTTTTCACATGACCGGGTCATGCAAACCCTCATGAATTCCCGCCATGTCTCCTGGTGCATTTTACCGTTGATGTCGTTTTCAGCCACCTTGAAACCAACAGGCTCGATGTAATTCTTCAACCGCCAAAAACCTCTTATGTCTTCACATGCCTGGTGGAACGACGGTAACATGGCACAGTCACCTCTTGTGTTGTCGTATGTCAAAACAACCGAATACCCATGTTTGTGATCGTCGTCAAAGTAAACAACACGCACGCAGTCATAATCGTGCAAACCGTGAATGACAACAACAGGAGATCCCCGACGTACCGCTCTTTTCATGGCCTCTGCGGTGTGCTGCCCAGCAACCGGGTAATAGAAGTATTCCTTCGCACGCCTCCAATCAAAGTCCTCCGAAAGAACACGTGTTCCTTGGACATTGGGGTCATTCGCACAAGGCGTAATTGGAGCGAGTATCAACTCCGACAGCTCCCACGAAGCATCATCATCCACACCCCTTTGAGCAGTGGACCTATCAATTAATGCATCGAGACCTGCAACAATTGCCTTGTTCTGGTTGAATTCGATATTCCCCTCGGGAATCGGAAGAATCGACATGACATCTATGCAAACCCTTGGCACATCTTTTCTTTTTCTGCCATCTTCATCGTACTTGAGAAAGAAGCACCGTGTCATGTCGACCACACGGGGCTTCTTCGTTTCCTTTTCGTCCTCAGCAATGAGGTCAGGCCGACGAGGGCCCACCTCTTCAGCGTCGTCACTTGAATCATC